AATTTCTACACAAGCTAACATGGAAAATGACCAATGTGCACCTTATTTTTTTGTTGCATATGGTACGAAGAAGAAATAGAAAAAAAAAATTATGTTAGAAATATAAAATAATTTTCACTTATAAGTCAATTTTATAGAAATAAGTAAGGTTCATTACAAAAAAAAATTGTTAAACAGTAACACATTTTATTTACTGATATAATATTTGTTTAATTTTGGTATTTATTTTAAAATAGAAACATTTAATCTTTCTAATTTTAAAAATAGAATTTTGATTCTTTCATCAAATTGATATCTATTAACCATTAAGTTCTTAATGTTTACTCGTACTTAAATGATGTGATATTTAATAACATAAAATTTAGTAATACAATTTTTTTAAAAAATGTAAATAAATTTTTTATTAATAAAATAAATATCAATCACTCAAAACAATATTTACAAATAAATATTTTTGTCTGTTATTTTTAAAAATTACTTTTACTTACATTATAAATATAATATATGTTGGTATGTTGTTAGAAAGTGTAAATATAAATTATAGTGATATAATATATATTATTGAATTTTATTTAAAATTAACACTAAAATTATGTGTAATTATATGTCAAATAAATTTATACCTATACATATTATATCTATATTAACATTTTTTTATATATCGTTATATGTAATATTTATTTTAGTAACTTAAATACGCATTCCTAAAATGATATCAGAATTTGTCTTAATAATTATTATTATGTTTATTATATACAAATTCCAAGTTAAGCATATATAACCTTGAATGTGTTAAAAATCTCATTACACTAAAAAAATATGATCAAAATAGTGTATACATGTTAAGAATAATTTTTACCTTACAAATTAATTTTATAAAATTAAATTAAACTCAAACTAATGTTTATGAAAAATAATAAATATGATAAATAATGCAATAAAAAAATGAAGAGAAAAATAAAAATAAAAATATACAATAAAAGTGAGACGATAAAGAAAATAAATACTATGGTATGATAGAGTTTATGGTGGAGCTTTTCATGTTTCTTCCCCTTTATTCTTTCCATCGAGTCAATTGCGGAGAGAGAAGGAACATAGAAGGATAAGAATCATTTTAAAAATGGATTCGTACCCAATGTGCCTTTGTTCATTTTACTTGCAGATATGTAGCAGATATCCTACGTTAATTCCAACAGGACCTTCCCTTTAATCTCATTATTTTCTGCTTGGCCATATGAGAGTAATTTTCTGTGTATATATATATATATATATAAACTTGCTATTACCCTGCTTTGGTTGGCTTGAAGATTCTAGTGAATTGAGCAACATAACAAATTTTCTACACCGCACGTGCGTACGCATAAAATTAATTAAAATCACAAGAAAAGAAAAAAGAAAACAAATAATAGAAGGGGGAAAATGACATATACTTTGTCCATGTATAATAAGAAAAGTTGAAATGCAGAATTGCATGGGAGTTTCGTTGATGGTGACAGGTGATGCTGAGGGAATATATTAAAGGAAAGGTGAAGCATTCTTATCTTCTGAATTTTGGAGTTCGGTACGTAAAATTACAACTAAAGTTGACTATAGGCGTAGCGTAGGGTTGTTTTATTTATATTTTATGTTTATTTCTTTAAATTATTGTATTATTTTTTACTTTGCACTTAGGAAGTCCTCTCACGTCGGAGATTTTTATTTTTTTTAGGGAGATATATTGAAGTAGATTTTACCTTTTTTTCAATAAAGTCTTCTTTATACATGACCAGGAAATCAAAATTCTATCATCATACTTAAGAAAACCTAACTATTTATTAAGTTGATTTCATTTAGTTGGTGTTCTACGGCTTCTCTCCACACTTGGTTAATGTCATGAGGAGAACCACACAAATACATTCTTGCAATGTACTTCATTGAAAACATAATGGGGATATATACTTGGTTTAGGCATCATAGTAATAGGCAATGCCAGCCTATGTGTAGAAATTAATTTGAAGTTTCCTTCATAGCTTATTTGGACTTAGAATTCACATTCATCCGAGGCTAATTTTTGAATTTGCAAAAGTAATTAATCAAGAGTCCTAATAATTAATTTCATTAAATATTGGAAATGAAAAACAAAGTTCACATTGGAAATGTTGAGAGTTTTCCATGAGTCGTGAGATTAAGTTGTGTTATGGATAACAAGTATGCGAATTAAATATTATCATATTTATCTTCATATTTGCATATAACTAATTAACAAATGGATAAGTATAAAGTATTCTACTCATACTTATCTTTATAGTGACCATATAAGTTTTTCATTGGAGTTGATTCTTATTTGGCACGGATAAGACTTATGGATGTTAAGTTTTTATTATTATTATTATTATTTAACATTTTACATAGGTGAATATTTAATATTTGAATTTGAGATTATTGATTAAGCTGAAACAACTTCATATTAGTTGATCCATGTAATCTATAGAATAAGAGCTCTCTTTTATGATCTCACTTTATTATTTACACTTTAATTAAATAAAAATATATTTTCCTTTTAGTATACTTCTTTTTATAACTTAGTAAAATAAAAGTGCTATTTTAACATTAACTATGAATGTTCAACAAAATAAAGAACCTTAATTAGAAATGTAACATCCATAACTCAATTGCATTTTCTTTATAAATTTAATAAACAAAACATTTAACTAAATTTAAATCTAACATAATAATATATTTTGCGAGTTTAAAATATGAAAGTTATAATGTATTTTAATATCAAATGATATTCGTATGGAACAAGTAGCTATAGATAACAAAAATAACCTGGACTCGCAACTCACACACACACGAATTTCAATGTTTAAGGACGTGGATAAAGTAGATAATAAAGTGTCCAAACTCACTTATGTCCGTCAACTTTTACCAACAAATTAATATTTGGATCCGGACCTAAATCCATTTAATACATATGCAATTCCCTTTTGGTGTAAAAAAATAATCTTTTAATCTTAAACTAATTTATGTGAGACAAAAAAATAGAGTTTTTTATTTAAAAATATTTTAAGTTAAAGTTATTAAATAATTTTATTTTTATTTCAAAACTTAATTTAAATTTTGATTTTGATGTAACTTAAAAAAAAATATTTGTTTTATCTAAAAAGTCTCTTATCTTGTTTTAAAACAAATAATTGAGTGCACGTAATTTCGCGCATGTCTCCTTCAAATCCAACTAATTGATGGGTCTCAACTCTCAAGCAGGACTTTTTCAGCATATAAATAAAATAAGAAAAAGAGGGAGAGATCTCCAGATTAAGATTTGAGGTAAATCTAAAGATTGTTGAGTTGGATTTTTAGAGATTAAGTCCATCTCTTGTATGATAATAGGATGGGCGGTACGATTTTTTTAATTATTTTTTTTATATATCTATTCCGATCTCCATTTTCATTTTTCTGTTCAAAAATTAATTAAATATTATCTTTTTAGAAAAATATACAAAATAAAATTTTTTAACATAAAATAATTATTATAAATTATATTAATTAAATTTTATTTAACATAAATTAAAAATAAAGTAATAATATATAAATTTTAAGTAAAATATAAAAAAAATAAATTAAACATAAATATCACTGCAAATTTTACTCAAATATTTCATTCCTATTAGTGTGTTGAAAGGCTATGAAAAGAAAAAGTGATTATGTATATATAACTGTTTCGGCCAAGGGATGGACTAGGGTTTTTTCCTAGATCATACCTTAGAGTCAGAGCATTCAAAAGTGTTATCTGTCTTCTTAACTCTAGGGTTTTGGATTTTATAGTTTCTTGTTCACGGGCCTTATGGGCCCCGTGAATATGGGGATCTCTTTAGCGGTTACAATCTAGAAAATACTTAGTGAGTGAAGGTGGGACCTCGCCATTTACTAAGTGTCCAATCGGATAATGACCGAGTAAGTCTTTATGGGTGGGAGTCGATCGATATCTGGCTCTGAGAGAGTGAGTCGGCCAAGGTTACAGTCGGGTGAGTCGGCCAAGGTTACAGTCGAGTGAGTCGGCCAAGGTTACAGTCGGGTGAGTCGGCCAAGGTTACAGTCGGGTGAGATCAGGTCGTGAATCGGCCTAGGCAGTGCACAGGTTTATAGTCGGCCTCACACGCATAATAACCCTTATATTCAGCGATACCAATCGGCCTACGCGCGAGTCGGCGACACCAATCGACCTACGGGCGAGTCGGCGATACCAATCGGCCTACGGTCGAGGCGGTCCACTTGCCTTCCAGCCTTGAGCCTATAAGGCGAAAAGGCTTAAGGTATAGTCCTTATAGTCCGAGATACCAATCGGCCTACGACCGAGTCGACGATACCAATCGGCCTACGGTCGAGACGGTCCAATAACATTATCCTTTAATTAAATCAGTCCACCATATTATCCAACTTTCCTATGTTATTCATTTATAAAATTATTATTATTTTGCTGATCTAATTTCTTATGTCGTCATTCCGTGACACATGTTCTCCCCCCATACAATAATATAATACAAACAAAGGTGTGCGTAAAGAAAGTGTCAAAGTACGTATAAATCTATAGGATGCTATTGTTTACGCAAAAAACAGCTTTGGCCGCAAATTCGGATGAAAGTTCTGAGCAATAAAAAAAACCACTAGTAATAGTGTTTAGGAAACTGCAGGGTCATTAATTAATGAAGCATTTAATAATCCTGGGGTTCGTAATTATGGCGATTGTTGAGCCTTAATCGCCGTTCTCGAACATAATAACAGCAGCACCAGGAAATTGAGTGATCGTGAAGCTGCAGAAACCAACCAAACATTTTTAAAAACAAACAAGCGGGTCTTATCCCCAACAAAAGAAAAAGAAGAACGACAATGTATTTTGACTATTTTTTCCACAAAAAGGTGTAGGGTAGTCCTTTAAATAGTCTAAAAAACAAAGGGTAAAACGGTAACTCATGAGGGTTGGCACCCCATATAAACTACAACAACAGGTCTCAAACATGAACCAAAAATACATAACACTGGTCAGTGGTCAGTGGTCAGTGGTCAGTGGTCATCACTCTCTCACACACTCTTAATTTATATCTACCAAACCAAAAAATGTTTAGCCCCTCCCATCTCAAAACCTTGCACCCTCTTCAAGCTTTCTCACTAAAACCATCTTCAACCTTAAGCTCCACGAAGCTAAAGAGAATCGTCCACACCCTCATAGTTTCTCACTTGTGCCGAATCATTGGCGCACTCTCCAAAGTCAAAGCCGTGGTGGTTGAGATTCTCAAGGACAACAACTCAAGCATCCACAAAAAACATTACAACAGACGCAACAAGATCATCTTAGGTTCCTTCAGGCTTCACTACAACTGGTGCTCCTCAAAATCCTCGCACGTGTTGCCGGTTCCCGAACCCGTTTTCGAAGGCTTGGGGGAGCCACGTGATGAAGATTGCCCCTACCTACGGTGGCTCGAGGAGAAGAAGGTTGAAGAAGGTGGTGGTGGTGGTAATAACAAGGGTGCAAATAGTGAGAGTGATGAGATGAACGAGATTGATGTGCTGGCGGAAATGTTCATTGCTAATTGTCACGAGAAGTTCAGGTTGGAAAAGCAAGAGTCTGATCGGAGGTTCCATGAAATGCTGGCTAGAAGCATGTGAACCAAAAAGCTCCATCAAATTGTTGAAAAGCTTGTGCATCGCCTATATAGGGTGTGTCGAGGGGTTTTATTATTTATGGTCATATATATTAATTAATTTGCCTTTTTCTTTTTATCCAAACTTTTTAAAGGGGGGGTTTGAAGAATTGTACTAACATCGTGGGATTGGGAATTGTGCAATTCTTCTGTTCATACGCTCGATCACGGTGGCTTTAACTTTTAATTTGCAGAGTTATTTTGATGAAAATTGGTTTGAAATTATGTAGATCTCACCTTCACTACCATTCTAGCTCATTACAGAAAACTACATCACATCTCTACTTACCAGTTGCTTTCATATAAATCTATGTTTGCTTCAGTTTTTTCTTTTATTGGAAATTATTGTTTTTTTGATAAATTCGTTCGTGGAATAGAAAGCTGCAGCTATTAAAAAATAGAACGATCAAGATATGTAAGTTACTCGTTTGAAATTATTAAATTTAAAAAAAATGATGGGTGAGAAGTGAGGACGGATAGTACGTTAATCTCTCCTCTTTGATTTTTTTTTTTATATATAAATTGAACAACAACCAAGTACGTACAAATAAATTGATATCCCAAAAGTAACTAACTAATAGTATATTTGATTTCACATTTTGATGTGATTTTTTCCCTATCATGATATGATTTCAATAAGGTAATAGTTATAGTTTTCTCATATCATATCAAACGTGATTTAATTTTGTCCTTCTTAACTGATTTCAGACCCGCAGCAGCTTAATGATTGTTTGGTGTATAAGCATGATGATCGCGTTAATATTACATAGCCCAATGTGATAAAATTTGTTCTCAAATAAAAAATAATGAAGTGAAATAAATGTCTGAAATTTTATCATCATATACTCATATGATCTATGATCTATTACAGTTGTATGTTCGCGCGCATATATTGTGGCTATGATAGACATATATCTAATGAGAAAGATATTCAATTTACACAGCACCCTGTCTTCCAGACACCTAAATATAGTTATAAATCACTGGACAACACCACCTTATCCATTGTTAAACGATTTTGGTGCTACTTGCTTGTTTGCTAGTCCATGTGTAGGTTGCAGCCAAAATAATGAGAAAGAAATATCAAACTTTCCAATTCATTTGTTAACACATTTGTTTAGTAGCCTCTTGGGGATCGAGTATGAATATGATATTTTTGCTACATATATATGTTCCACATTTAATTATTTCTTGGGGTGTACGAATATGATATTTTTAGCCTCTTGAAGCTTCCAGCATCCTACCGTATCTCTTGCTGATTGCATAGCTATACAGAGCACATGTCAATTATAGTGCATGATTTTACAGAACTCGCGTTTAGTTCAATTTGTTAACCATTTTTGTTTGTATCTGTGCTATAGTTCGATAAAGAGTGGACTCGGTCTGTACCCAACTCACCTACTCCAACCCCTCCCTCACTTTTTGTTCTGGATTTTAATTTGCACACATTTGATGAAATTTTAGAAATTAATAAAGGGGAGAAATTATTAGAAAGGTAGCACAGAATATGCTTTCTGTACCACACTAGGCGGAAGATAGATACACTAACAGAAAGACAGACTAGTTCTCGGGTTCATAACACAGAATCTTAATTAACCTTAACACGATTGAGATAGTAGTAATAATAATATTAAAATGATGGTCCCCATTAGGTAGGTAAGTGCATGGATCAAGATGCAGGCACTCTCACTCACTACAAGACAGCTAGACAGGTTTGAAACAGGCAAGATAGTTACGGCGATAGATCCAACATCTGCTACTTTTCAAACCCAAAATATAATCATGTTTACAACTTACAAGTAAAGTAATACTAATTCAATGAGCTTGTCCTTTATTTCTTCTGTAATCTTCTTATGTATACTAACTTATATGGTTATCCTTTCCATCCCCATCCACTATTGTGTTCTGTCTCATTTGACTAAAATCTTTTTTTTTAGACTATAGATATTTTTTTAATTAAGTTAAAACAATTTTTTTAATCAAATGATTTACATGCTTCTTGATCACTTGACTAGAATATGAGATTTAAGAAAAAAAGAAAAAAAATGGAAATCTTTTAGCAGCCTTAAAGGAAGAGCACATGTACATGACAAGAGCACAGGTCGTCGATGTCATGTGCTGATGCCCTTAATCTTAAAACAAAGAAAAGTGGTATTCTTTTTCCCTAATTGGGATAACAATTAGTTTTGGTTACTCCACTAGGTCAGCCAAGGGTGACATATCCTGCCTTTGCACACAAATTAGTACATAAGCTTTTTTATTTTTATTTTTTATACCTTGTGTTGATCATGCATGAATCACATATAGGCCAGCACCAGCAGCATTTTCTCTATAGTTTGTGTATCTCAATCATTGAGCAAAAAAATAAACCCAGTAATTAAAATAGATGGTAACATAATTGTTTATATATCCTCAAGTTGGCTCCTGAATGTCAGTGATAAGCTAATTAATTATTAGTAGCTAATTGCAAGGGTAAATAATTGATTTTATGATAGTGGAGTAGGAGTCTAGGGTGATCTTTGGTCAATGGATGGGACTTGTTGTCTGATCAATCTTGGATCTTGATGAAACCAGTGGGGAGTTGATAATTAATTAAACAAATAAAAAAGTAATTTTAATTTGAAAATAAACTAATCAGCATACATGATTAGACTGTCATATGTAATATTGTTGAGGAATCTGAGCTATTTACGGTGAAAGGAACATAATTAAATGGTAGCTAGCTAGCTAGCACATCTTAATGTCGTATGAGGCCATTTATCACTTTCTGATTTCACAATAATATATAATTGGGATTAGTTTAGGATGAGTGTATGAAGTAGTGTGGTCTACGTTAGTACAACTAGAAGTACAGGAATTAAGACCAGTCAATAATGTTGTTGCAATTACAGGGTTCATAGGACAGTAAAAGGAGATAGTAATGGCATCAATATTGATGGCTTTTATTGTGGTGAGTTATATGCTTTATTCCGAAACTTCTTTAGCTGCTTTATTACAGATATGGAAGCTTTAAAAGATACAAATTTGGTGCCTTTGGTCTCCTTGTTACCATAGAAACTGCTTTAAAACGTAAAAGTGAATGGGTGGAACCACTTGGGATTTTATTCTCTAGGACAGGATCAAATGGATGAGGTGGGGGAGCAGTTTCTACCTCCGATTCATCACTTCAAATTTCAAAACCCACTTCTTGGACCACAATATGGTTATCAAATAAGTGCTTTTTAAATGTTGCATTATTATTTTTCATTGCATTGGGTCATTTTTTCTTTCAAATAATTAATTCAGTATTTCATATCTTTAAAATTGTTAGAATAACCAATAACGTATTTTTTTTTTTTTTTTTTTGCTGTTTGGAACTTTTATTTTACTTATTTTATTTTAAAGATTTTATTTAAAACAATAATTTTATATATTAAATAGATAAAATATAAGTAAATTAATATAATTAATTTTAATTGTTCGTATTAATTTTAGTTATAATTATTTCTTTTTATATTTTTTAATTATACAATAATTGTTATATATTATTTTTTAAATTACTTACAGCAACACTAATTATTTATTTTTATATAATTTTAGAAATTTTCTTTTAATTATTTTTAATTATATTAAATTTCTTGGTACAGTTTTAATTGCATTACTTGGTTTCAAATAATTTTCTCATTTTTTATGTTAGGTTTTGAATTGTTTTTTAATTTGGTAGATAAATTAATTAATATATGAAAATACTTTTAATTATATATCTCTATTAATTTCATGTATTAAAATTTTAAATATATTTCCCTCGTTCCGTCCCTGTTTATAAGCACTTAAACAAAGTATACAGATAAAATAAAATACTTTTTTAAGTTAAAACTAATTTGTATATAAATTAAAAATATTTTTTAAAAAAATTTAACATGAGAATTTAATATAATTTATATATTAATTAATTTTAACTTATAAAAAATATTTTATTTTATTTTTTCTTTAAAAATATTTATGGAAAAATTTACACTAACAAATAAATGCATATACAATTTCTTACCTTTTAAATGTTACCCATACATTGTAACCAAACACTCTTTAATTTCTTTAATTTTAGTTCCCTTTTTATACTAAATGATGATTTTAAAATTAATTGTTCTTATTTTGCTTAATTTTTTAAAAAATAAAGATGAATGTAAGCAAATAAATTATAGATTAAATTATATTTTTTACTCTTTATTTTATCTCTTAGATTCATTTTGATCATTTACTTATTAAAATGTTCATTATGATCTTTTATATTTGGATTAATTTAATTCTTTCAAAACAATGATTATTTTCAATTTTAAAAACATGAAAATCAATTTTTATTAATTTAAGGCGTGAAACTTATAATATTAAATTTACCTGTATGAAAATTATAATCTGAATTAGCATTTGAATTCAAAAGGATTATAAATATAATAAAAATTATTTGAAAATTTTATCTTATAAATAATTAGAAAATAATATGAAATTATATTTTTTAAAATTTTCAATTTTTTAAGACTTATTTTTACGTGATTTTTATTATGTTTACGATAATTTTTTATTTGAATTTCATTTGTTTTCAATGATTTTCATGTAATTGAATCTAATGATAAGAGTTTTAAGTCTTAAATCAATTAAAAATCATTTAAAATTATGTCTTAAAAAAGAAAATAATAATTATTTCAAAGGAATCAAATCAATTCAAAATTAGAAAATAAAGAATTAAAATGAACATTTTTAAATATAAAAAACTAATATAAATTTTAAAAATAAGATAAATAATAAAAATATATATAATTTAATCTAAATTATATTACCTTTCTTTTTAAATCTTAGTAATTATAATTAAACTTTTCTAATTAAGCATTTGCAATGCATAGTTAAATAATAGCATAAAATGTCAATAACAAATTAAAAGTAACTCCTAATTTTAAAAATAACTACACAAATAACCCTTCTCTCCGATGGTTGCACACGGTTTAATTAGCGTGGTGGTGTGAGATATCAATAGAAAGTACGTACTATAACGCCAATGTATATTCAAGTAAAATAACAATAAGAATTAAATGTGTTATAGAATGAAGGTGCCTTAGAGTCACAAATATGTCATGTGACAAGAACTAATATTCATTCTCACTCTAATAGATTGTTATAGGCACCGCTAGTATTTGATAAACTATTTTAAAAATTGACATACATGTGATTTCAAGAAAACAGAATAAAGGCGTTGATGAATTACAAACATGTAAAGAGAATATCCATTGTCTCTCTAATGGACTCCATTTTAGGCACCAATAGTAATTGTTAAAATATTCCAAAAAAAATGACA